GTGATACTTGTCAACATTTTAGAGATGGTTTACATTATAATGCTCACCAAGAGGAAGAAGCTAAAGATTTACTCAAAGATTTAAAGAACATTTGTCCAAGGCCAAATTAGAAAAAAATTATTATAATAAAAGCACCAAATTAGCAGAAGAACAAAGAAAACTGATTGATCAACATTATTCAAAGAGTAAAACACAATATTCTAGTACTGATGCTACTACTCATTATAGTTATGATTGAGCCCAAAATGTTCACATGTCACATTTAGATCAACAAGTAAGTAAAATTTATCTTAGTCCATGTAAAGTTCATTAATTTGGTATTCAAGATGAAACAGTAAAGGAACAAATTAATTATGTTCTTAATGAAGATGAAATTATAGGAAAAGGTCCTAATGGCACACTTGGTATGATTTTTGATGGAATTAAAAAATTGAATAAAGGTGAAAAGCATTTAATGATTACTTGTGATAATGCTGGTGGACAAAACAAAAATAACACTATATTTGATTTTATTTATATCTAGTAATTTGTGGTTATTATGAAAGCATTGAATTGAATTTCATGATTCTAGGACATACCAAATTCAAATGTGATGGTAATTTTGGCATGATTAAAAAACTCTATAGAAGAACAAGTGTAGATTGTGTAGAACATGTGGTTGAGGTGATAAAAAAGTCTAGTTCAGCAGGATTGAATAAAGGTTTTCAATACCTAGATATTAAACCAATTTTGGGAATTTATTTCAAAAAATTACCAAGTATACAGAAATATCAACATTTTCTTTTTGAAACATCTAATTTTGGTACGGTGAAAGTTCAAGTAGTTGTTAATGGACCTTTGACTGAACTCAATTTATTAAAAACCAAGAAAACAGATATTTTGATGAAATCAGATCTTTATCTATTTTAGTATTGACACCACCTCCTTTGGATTACAAGAGGCAAGAATACCTTTATAATAATATTCACCCATTTGTGAAAGATGAATACAAAGATATTACTTGCCCAAGACCAATCTATACTGGAAATGAATAGAATATTTAGAATAAAATCGTCTTCATGACTTTATCACTAGTTAATTTGTCCTTTACTGTCATTAAGCTTGACAAATATCATTAGCCTTTTCCACTTGTAAAAAAATACTAAAATAATTTATATACTTAATATACCTTACCTTACATAAAAAGGATATAAGTATATCAAAACAATAGTAGTAATAGTAATGATGACTTTGATAACGGGCAGCAATTGAATATTTCTGGCGGCAGCAGCAACAGCAACAGCAACAACAACAATAATAATGGAATGCAAACCCCTCCTCCTTATTCATCTTCTTCAACTGCTACTGCAATTACTACCACTGAAAATAAAAACAATAATAATAATTCATCTAAAACACAAATGACAACTACTACAATGATGAGTGCAACAACAACAACAACAACAATAATTATATCAGAACATGATAAACTTTGTAATCAGATTGAGTTTTTAACTAGAGAAAATATTAAGTTGAAATCGGAACTAATTATTTCTGAGGAGATTAGGAAATTGACACATGATAACACATTAAAAATTTTACAAAAAGCAAACAAATCCAGTTTAATAATAGACAATAGTGACATAGTTGAAATAAAAAAATCAATCACTGATAAAGAAATGGAGATTAACATGTTGAAAGGAAAATGTATAGGACTTGAAAGTGTGATTAAGAAGCAACGTGAATTGTTAACATCAATTATTCCGTCAGTTTTTAATGGTAGTAATGATGGTGGGTATTCATTAAAAAATGTTAACAAAGTTCTTTCCATTAGAAAGGAAGAGGAAGTTGATGATCCTATAATAGCTGAAGAGGTAAATGAAAACATGTTGAAACATTTCAATCAATTAAAAGAAGAAAATACAATATTTAGAAAAGCATTCAATTCATATAATCAACAACAATATGAACAACCAAATCAAAAATATAAAACTAGCGGTACTAATAATAATATAAATTCATTAACAGTTGATGTTCTAACATCTAAAATAACAGAAATGGAAACACAATTATTAAATCGAGAAAAGAAATTACAAGAAGTTATTGATGAGATCAAAAGACGTGGTGAAGTACAAATAGAAAGGTTAAAATCAAAATGGAATCTCAATTCATAAAATTGTACATAATGATATGGATGGTTATAGATAGAAGGAAGGAAAAAAATGGCAGAAATGAGAGATAGATAAAATAGAAAGAACATTATTAATATCTTATTTATATAACCAGAACATTTTTGTAAAAAGTTCTTTATTATATTTAATTAATTAAATTTTTTATTATTGATATCATTCATAATATTTATAATTTATTGTTTTTTTTTAGATGTAAATAAATATTTTCTAATATTTTTTAATATTTTTTTGATTAAACTCTTTCATGTCAAAGCTCCTTATATAAACTTTATGCAATTCCTTTGTTGGGATCATAATTACTTGTAGGTTGATAGATTTATTGTTGTGATAATATGGATAGCTTATTAGGTGCTGACATACCCCCACCTCAGGTAAAGATATCTTGAAAAAAAGAATCATAATATTTCCACTGATAAATTAAAAAATTTTCCTTTGATACATACAATATAGTGTATTTGGGGCACATTGCAACAAAACCAACAAAGTGAACATTTGCACCACTAAGGATTTCAGGGATCAAATTTAGTCATTTGTAATGTGATCATAATCAACAGTTTTATAATGTCTAATGTCCCATTTGTTAAGTGATATGTAGAACTACCCCTATATAAAAATAGTTAATATGAAACTCATTTACATTAGATCTACCATGAAACCAAAAAAATTACGGCATCATTAGAAGTATTATAAAAAAGGAACAAGGTGAAAAAATTGCTCCTTATATTTTAAAATAAATGATACTCAGGCAATTGAAGCTTATCTAAGGAAACTTATGAAATTTACCAAGAAGAAAGACAAATAATAAATGTTAAAAAAGAAAGCATCATGATGATGCATTATTACCTAAAAATCTTTGAAAGGAAATAACTATCATTTTCTTTGATAGTTGGAATTAATTTCAATTTATACAGAGGAAAATTTTTTAAATTACTTTCTTATTTTCAATCAAGGTCGTTTCTTAGTTTCTTTAGTTTCGATTTGAGCAATTTGTCCATTCTGTTGATCTTTTAATTCCCTGTTTTCCTTCTAAACTCTTTATCTTATCCAATAACTCTTGTTTCCGTTTTTTACTTCATTCTTCAGATTTTTCCTGAAACTTAGCTATTTCCTCTCTTTCAATACTTAACTCTTCTTTGACAGTTGATAACTCCTTTTCTAGTTCTAGTTTTATTCTCTAGGTAATTTCTTCCATAGAGAGTAATTGGTTTGACCTATTTTCTAATAGATTACAAAAGCAACCTTTTCTGTTCCTCTTTAGTCTTCCACAAAGTTCACAGTGAGGAAGAATGTCATTTTCTAATTCTTCTTTGCGATTGCCACAAATATAAGCTATGTAAACATAATCGCCATTGTCTTTAAATGTTGCTAACTGGTGAGTAGCAACATTAAGAATTAAACTGTATCCAGAATGAAAATCTAGTAAACAATAATTACAATCTTGGTTATCTTTTTCCGCTACCTCAAGAATTCTATATTCTAGTTTCACAATTACTTATTCTTTTGTAAGATGT